CTGGGTAATATTTTAATATTTTTGAAAAGAGGTTAAAAATGAAACATTGTACGCTTCAGTCAATGGTATTGTTACAGTTATTGGAACTGGCTCTTAAGGCATCTTAAGAATATAGAGGCAATAGCTAACATCTGGCTAGAGTCAAAGTTATGGTTATCAGGGGCATCTGAACAAGAAAGGAACTGATTACCAAGTTGTATTGGGTATGAGAGACAGCGATCAAAATAATTTTCTTGTTTACCTTGGTCAATTAAATTCTGGGTAAATGATTAAGGATCCTCAAAAGCCCAGGAATTGGGATAGTACAGGCTGGCGGGGAGGGAGAGAGAAGGACATGGGAGAAAGAACAAAAAGACTCACAGGCAGGGGGTTCTTGTTCTTATTGCCTTAAAACCAGAGTTAAGAGAGTTTGCCATTCTGTTGCTTATAGGAAACTCTGTTTTCCTCTCTAGAGAATCCCTAGGTTAAAAACAATCTCTCCTGGTTAATGGAAGGATTTTTGGAATAGGGAGATACAGTAGGTTCCCATTTATTTGGTAGCTTCAGGGTTTATGGAGAGAGAGATGTAACTCGAAGTTGTGTACTGTTTGGTCCAAAGGCAGGTTTATCTCTATTTTGGGGCCTGTTAGGTGTTGCATAGGATTTGAATACCAGTAGCAGGCTGGGTTTTTTCTGGTTGGAACATGTCTTTGAGATGCCTTCTTTGTAAATAGTGTAACTTGTATGTTGTGTGTTTAGTGTGTGTATCGTAGGTATCAATAAACATTTGCTTAACCCAACGTGTCTGATTTATTACTCTTTTCATCAAAACCCTGCTAGAGAACAAAGAACTCAAGTTCCTTTATTTATACCGACCAATCAGGTATATTCTTGACACAATCTTTACAGTTTAGGGGTTATGATTATTTTAAGTATTGATTAATCTGCCTATTTCTCACATTCTCCATGTTCATAACCCCCTATTAATGACAGTATATTTAATAATAACATTAGCAAATACATAGTCCTTTTGAATTCGGAAAAAAAGATGTGGGTTACCAACTATTTTAGTCTGCTAAACTACTGCAAATGCTAAATTAAATGAGCTGCTGCAATCTGTAGTCTTTGCTTACATTTAACAATGTATTATTATTCTTAAATATTCTTTAATGTTTTGATGTAAATTGGTTTACCTTAGTAAGATGGTGTACTAACAGTATGTTTAACAAGCATTTTCCCAAATCTTTGCTTGAAAATGAGTTTTTTTCATGACTTTTTCTCTTGCTCAATGCCCATTAATATGTGAAAGATCACACATGCAAACTGGCCCATTGAGAACCTGCCTCAAACTATTCTGCTTTTTCTAAATTGTAGTAATGCTTAGTAAAGGTAAAACATGTTGAATGCATAGATTTGAGTCCGCTTGTTAGCCTTAATGCTCATAGTTTCTTTATTTACTTTATTTTAAAATGTGTTTTCTTGTACATTTTGTATTGCTCACTTTGTAAAACATACTAGTATGCAGCACTGCATACAAATGTGAAAACTTGAAATATTTAGATCTTTTATCAAACTACTTTTTACACATTCTGAAATATCTTGTGCATCTAAAAAAATGTTTGTGGTATATAGTGTATGGAAAATTAAACTTTTTTTGCTATTTTTCTGCAGTGTATCTGGTCAACAACTGATGTAACAGCTGTGCTAAAGAATAAAGAACTCTGGTGCCTCAAACTACAGTAAATCAATCACGTGGGCATATTCTTGGCATATCTTTTACAATTCTGGGGCTATGAGTATTTATTTTAATGATTGATTATCCCCCTCTCTATAATACGCAGTTTATAACAAAAGTTCAGGAGGAATGACAACAGCCAAGTTCGATGAGACTCAGCTGTCGGTAATTCTCAATCACTCCTGACATCTTTTCCTCACCTAAAACATTATCCATACCATATCCCTTTATCCCCTTCTCTCCTTTGCATACATCTTTCTGCATCCCACCTCCAACCAGGACGTAAGCTGGGTTAAACCAAATTTTGACTGAAACACTCCATCGTCCTTTCAGTACATGAATTCGCGGGTGTTGTTATTCCTAGTCGGCTATATTTCCTTAGCCTCCTACATGTAAAAATATCGAAAAATAATATCTCAGATGTCACAGAACAAGGAGAAATGATTCACATATTAGGTGAACTTAAAATAATCCAGTTAGGCACTTTTGTTACTCAGTAAAGGCCCTCACCTGAGAGCATATTGAGCTCTATGATGACAGATGTGAGCCAGGGTCATGTTACTAGCCGACTGTAACTGGGTTTCCCTAAGAGGCCTTGTCTGTCACGGATGTTGGAAGGGACAAACCGTCGAGAGGCAGGAGAGCGAAAAAGACCCCATGCGAAGCAGCGGAACGGGGGGTTAGGCCGGGCTCAGCAGTGCAAGGAGTTCTGGAGTGCCGTATAGAAACCTATGCTCTCAGGTCATGGACGGAGCGGCGACCTGGTGCAAGGGGGGTCTCAGGACATCCGTACGTCAATGCTGAGCGAAGCAGAATAAGTGACCCAGAAATATATATATATAGAGAGAGAGAGAGACCGGAAGGAGAGCAAAGGATAGGAAACTAGGGACAGGACAGAGTAGGAGCGTCCTCTCGCTGCAGAGGGCGTGACAGTGCCCAGAGTTCTAAGTGCTGCCATGGATAGGGTGGAATTAGTCAGATTGGGCCTGCAGGGCACATGCAGATATGTGGTGCTGTCCTTCGGTTGGTGCCAACCCTCCAGTAGGGCCTGTGACATGTTAAAATATGATTGGCTGTTAAGGTGGATGGGACAGAGACGTCTTCATACACTTTCTCCTCCTCTGCTTGTGGTTGTGGGCTTTGTAGCTGTGAGTGAGTAGAGGGATGATAACATATGTTATCATGGCTGTACCAGATCAGGTGGGCGAAAGGGAAATAATTGGAGATATATCCCCCTGGGCCTCATGGTGTTCTCTCAATTTTAGGAAACAAGACATGTCATTCACAGGTCATTAGGAAAATACACGTCATAGGTGATACTCATTAACAGGAAAATTACTAACATAGATCCCGTTGATAAAAAAGGTGACAGAATTGAACCACATATTTATAGATCACATGTAAGTCAACGTAAACAGATTCTGCTCTTTTTTTCTCTTTCTCCTCCAGGCTGTCTGGTTTATTTTTCCTTTCTGTTGATCTCTGTCCCAAGCAAATAGTTGCATAAAGTTGTGAGGAGGAACCATCGCACATGCGTTGTACAAACTTCAAACCACCACACAAATCACATGGCATCTGCTTTCCTACATCAGTAACAGCATCTGATGGGTGTGGATCAAGAAAAGGCAATACCCATAGCCAATAGGTGACATAATGTAAAGTGGATATTTTTCATTTGCACCGTAGAATCTATATTTTCCCTCATGATATTTTCTAACAAGGCAGTTCCCAGACATGGATGTGCTCCTCTCTACTTCCCCTTGCACTAAAGCTCCATCTACTGGCTATAAGGGAAGCTGATTTTCCTTCCAAACACATGAACGTGTTCAAAGCAACACTGAAAAGAAATCGTAGCACTTTAGAATAAGGCTTTTTCAATGATTTATTAATAACGAACTAAAAAGAATTCATAGTTTATTGAGAATGAACTAAGTATAATTAAAGGATTTATGGAAGTGTACCTGTGCCTTTGTTCACTTTGATTTTTAGGCTTTGTAAAGTTTTTTTTTAAACGGAACAA